GTGGGCATGGGGGGTGCAGGTGGAAAGCAGCCTCAGGCCTGGAATGTGGCAGATGCTTTGGGAACCGGCGGGATACGTGTCAGCCGGTATCGCTATAACGCATTCTTTTCAGTGAACGAGTTGCTAGAATAAACGGTTGCTAAAGACAGCTCCTTTCCTATGCAAATTCTCTTTGTCTCCCTATCCCAAGAGTCCTTCCTGGTGGGGCTTTATTACACGGCAACACCCCAGCCTCGACTGAAACGCTCCCCTTCTGCTCTGTTTGCTGCCTGTCCGGTTAGGCCACGCACACACACACACACACACCATGAAAAGCTCTGGTCACATGCACACACACACACACACACACACACACCATGAAAAGCTCTGGTCACATGCACACACACACACACACACACACACACCATGAAAAGCTCTGGTCACATGCACACACACACACACACACACACACACCATGAAAAGCTCTGGTCACATGCACACACACACACACACACACACACACCATGAAAAGCTCTGGTCACATGCACACACACACACACACACACACACACCATGAAAAGCTCTGGTCACATGCACACACACACACACACACACACACACCATGAAAAGCTCTGGTCACATGCACACACACACACACACACACACACACCATGAAAAGCTCTGGTCACATGCACACACACACACACACACACACACACCATGAAAAGCTCTGGTCACATGCACACACACACACACACACACACACACCATGAAAAGCTCTGGTCACATGCACACACACACACACACACACACACACCATGAAAAGCTCTGGTCACATGCACACACACACACACACACACACACACACACACACACCATGAAAAGCTCTGGTCACATGCAGCAGTGGCTGATTAGAACAAGGGGGGAGGTTGCACACGGGGCTTGTTACTGCACGTCTCCCCATTCTTAGCCACAGCCAGGCTCATCGGGGCTCCAGGCCCATGCACCGTGCTACACAGAGCCCCATGGGCATGTCTATGAAAGAGGGTCCTGAAGATGCCTGGCTGGTCGCAGAGTCCTAGGAGCACGCCCACTGGCTCTCACTGTGATCAGGCGCTCAGGCCCCGAGTAAGGGACTTGGCCCGGCCCTGCGGAGTTGACAATCTAAATAGACAGGCTGGGGGAGGGATAGCTCAGTGGTTTGAGCGTTGGCCTGCTAAACCCAGGGTTGTGACTTCAAGCCTCAAGGGGGCCATTTAGGGATGTGGGGCAAATCTGTCAGGGATGGTACCCGGTCCTGCCGGGAGAGCAGGGGATTGCACTTGATGACCCTCCAGGTCCCTGCCAGCTCTGGGAGCTAGATTACACCCTTGTCCTACCGATGAGGCACAGAAGTGACTGGCCACATGGAGAGTCTGGATGGTGAGCCTCGATCGCATGAGGCCTCAGCCACGAGCCCAGCCGGCCTTTCCTGAGTTCGGCCGTAACTCCATGAAACGTGTGGAAGCACTGTCAGGTTCCTGCATCCCACAGGGTTTGAAATGGCCGCTCCTCGCAGACCAGTCACTCCTGCTTTGCAAGCACCTGACGGTGTGCTTGGTGCTGTACAGGGCTCGCTGCCCCTGGGGGCTTGCACTTGCGAGCTTCCTGCTGGGGCTGACTTGTCTGTCCCTGGAGTCAGGATCTGCCGAGTGGAGAGCGCCATAGGTGTAGGCTTAACTGTCCTGTTATTAGAGGGCTGAAGCACATGACCTATGAGGAGAGGCTGAGGGATTTGGGCTTAGTTAGTCTCCAGAAGCGAAGAGCAAGGGGGGATCTGAGAGCAGCCTTCAACTCCCTGAAGGGGGTTCCGAAGAGGACAGAGAGAGGCTGTTCTCAGTGGTGGCAGAACAAGGAGGAGCAATGGGCTCAAGTTGTAGGGGGCAAGGCTTAGGTTGGATACTAAGAAAACCTCTTTTCCTAGGGAGGGGTGGAATCTCCATCCCCTGGAGGTTTTTTAAGTCCCAGTTTGACAAAGCCCTGGCTGGGATGATGATTGAGTTGGGGTTGGTTCTGCCTGGGCAGGGGCTGGACTTGATGATTCCTGAGGCTAGCCCCACTCTTCTGTGATTCTGGGATTATTGTTATTTGGGTTACGCTGGCACCTCGAGGCCACAGCTGAAATCAGGGCCGCACAAACACATCGTGCGCAAGCGTCCCCGCACAAAGCTCTTCACCCAGACACAGCTGACAAAGGGAGGGAGAGGAAACCAGCCAAGAGAGGAGAAGTGACTTGCCCAGGGTCACACTAACAGGTCAGTAGCAGAGCTGGCAAATAGAATCCGAGTCTCCTGGCTGCCAGTCCCATGCCATATCTGCATCACCCCGCTGCCTCTTGACCTGCCCCCCCAGCCAAAGAAATTGCCCGTAAAGATCATCTAACCTTCCCAGCTGGAAGCCCTGGGAACCCTACCCATCCTCCACCGCCTTGAGAGGACCCCGCGTTTCAGGGCGGTTCTGCCGTGTGCCGGGGCAAGTCCTTCCCGTAACGGTTGAGCCAGGGTGCAGCGGAGTGGAGGTAAGTGGGCACGTGGGAGGACTTTGCCTCCTCCGATCTCCTCCACACACCAGAGTGCGCACTGTGATCCCTCAAGTGTGGTCTCCCAGAACTCCCCCAAATTCACACGCTGCACACCGTGGGCCGCTCTCCCGCCCTCTGGGATCTGTGCCGAGAGCTGCCTCCCCGGGATGATGTGGAATTGGCTTTTAGCAGGCCAAGCCTAGCAAAGACTTTATTTGACCGTTAGCTTGAAAGGTCCAATTGGCTCCCAATACTCCCTTGTCTCAGACCTGGCTGGAGCCCGCCAGCCTGTCTCTGCCCCCTTGCATTGTCCCCTGTGCCGACCTGGAGCCAGCAAGGCCAGGATAACATGGGACAAGAGGTTCCCCGTCCACCTTGAACACTCCCTCCGAGGGCTGCGTCAGACCCTCCCGGCCCAGCCGCCCCTGGGAAGGGAAGTTTGCTTTCAGAAGCCTTGGGGAGGGTGGCGGGTGTTTCAGGGGGTTTGTGGGGTTCTTACGACTTTCCCTTTGTGCTGCGCCTCTCCTGTAGTTCTGCAGCAGTCGCTGTGTCTGCGCTTCCCCTCCCGTTCGGCTTGCTGAGTACGGCCCCAGCTCTCTGCATGCCGCCCGCCCCCTTCCCCTGCCCTCAGCCCTTGGCTTGGCTCCCAGTCCAGGGGGTCCAGCTGCCCTTCCTGGCACCGCAGCCCGGGTTGGCGTTCATTTTCTCTCTCTCTTTCTCTCTCCCTCTCTCTGTCGTTCCAGAGACGAAGCACCCCCAAAACCCCGCCCCCCCGGCTTGAAATTCCGCCTGCAGAAAAGACTACGAGCCCCGAAAGGAACAAGGCCCATCCTCCGGTCGGCCCCTCAGGAACCCCTCTGCCCCTCCAAAGGATCCAGGGACCAGGGAGCCAATGTCCTCCCATCCTGTCCTAGCTCGGCACCTCACCCCGAGAGCGGCCCAAGCTCCAAATCCCTTGCTTGACAGAACTGGTTGCCGGCCTTATTATGTTTTTTTTAATTCGCCATTGTTTTTAGACTTCTCTGGTTTGGCGTTGTCCGGCCGACCTTTATTTCCCCTTTTTTATTGTGTCTGTGACATTTCCTGTTGATGAGTAAAGAGGGACTCCGTGCCCTGGTCTTCCTTGCATCTTTGGTTGTCCTTGTGTGTGTTTTTCGGCCGACCCGTCGGTACCGTAAGCAGGTAATGGTTGTGTCCCTCGCATACTGAACGGAGGTCCCTAGGGAGCGAGCACTGGGCACGCTTTACAGACACGGAGTTTGAGTCTCCTCTCGCTTGCACTCTTGTGCGTCCGTCGCTGGTGGCCGTGAGAGCAGGCCCATCGCTCTGGTGGCCGACGAACTGGCTTGTCTGAGAGATTCCTTCTCTGACAGCTAAACCTTTCGAGGCCAGGGCCTGGGACTTCCAGCAGCCCAGCCCCCAGAGGCGGGGAAGAGAGAGGGAGTGATTTCAGCACTTCCCCGGCACAGCGTGTCTCCTTGGAAGACACTGGCGCTCGAGCAGGCGATGCCGGGGACTCCGGTTCCGTCGGCTGCGCTTCCCTCGCGGTCGTTCCAGCCCAGAGGGGGAGCCTGCCTCTTTCTGACCCAGCTTTCGCCCTGTCGAGAAGGGTTGGCCGTTGCCCCGGCAGGGAGCAGTGTCGGGCCCAGCTAACCCGAGGCCTGCTTCTTCTCCCCTTAGACAAAGACGAATGCTCCAAGGATAACGGGGGTTGCCAGCACGACTGCCTGAACACCTTCGGCAGCTACCAGTGCCAGTGCCGCAGCGGCTTCGTGCTGCATGACAACAAGCACGACTGCAAGGAAGGTAGGCGGGTCCCCCGGATGGCAGGGAAGGTCCGACCGTCTGGCTGGGCTGCTCGTTGCTCTGAAAGGCTCGCTGCCCGATTCTTTGCTTTCCTCAGCTCTTCCTCTGGGATAAGCCTTTGGGAGGGGCGGGTGAGTGAGTTTGGGGAAGGGAGGGGGGAGAAATGAGCCCCCGACTGACTCCTCCTTTGGGATCCTCTTCCTGCAGCCGGCTGTGATCACAAGGTGACGTCCATCACGGGGACCATCACCAGCCCTAACTGGCCCGATAAATACCCGAGCAAGAAAGAATGCACATGGGCGATCACCACCACGCCTGGGCACCGCGTCAAACTGGTAACGTATAGGGCAAGGGGTCAGCAACAGAAAAACACAATATAATGACCGACCCTCCCGGTCCTCATATGAAGTAAACAGTCCGCCTCAGACCACTGATCCACGTAGCCCATTGTCCTCTCTCCACCTGTGGCCACCGTCCATGGATGGCCGATGGAGCCGTGGCACGTGGCGGAGGAAGGGAACAGTTAGGTAGTAACATCCCCACGGGGCATTTCTTGTTCCTGTTCCTCGGCGAGCGGGCAAAGGGGAGGGAGTAGATTGCAGACACCTCTGCACAGAGCCTTCCAGCTGCAGTCGGACGAACGTGGCTCCTCATAGAACGGCCAGAGACATGACTTGGAATCATAGAGTCACAGAACACTAGAACTGGGAGGGTCCTCGAGAGGTCTGTCTGTCTAACCTGCTCTTGAATATCTCCAGTGATGGAGATTCCACAACCCCCGTAGGCAATTTATTCCGGTGCTTCACCACCCTGACAGGCAGGAAGTTTTTCCTAATGTCCAACCTAAACCTCCCTTGCTGCAATTTTAGCCCATTGCTTCTTGCTTCTGCAATTTAAGCTCCTTGCTTGTTCTATCCTTAGAGGCCAAGGGGAACAATTTTTCTCCCTCCTTCTTGTAACACCCTTTTAGATACTTGAAAACTGCTAGCACGTCCCCTCTCTGTTTTCTCTTTTCTAAACTAAACAAGCCCAATTCTTTCAGTCTTCCCTTCTAGCTCATGTTTTCTAGACCAGTGTTTCTCAGCCAGTGATACGAGTACCCTTGGGATACTCGAGAGAGGTCTGGGGAGTACATCAACACAACTGAAATTTGGAGAAAACTGGATTTTTGTTTTACAGCGTTTTATTACTTTTGTACTTTTTACACCCAAAAATGTCATCGCCCGCCTGACTACAGTTAAGTTGTTTAAACAAATGTGTTGCAACAGTAGGGAAAAAAATGGTGTGTCTGAAACCTGTAGGTATTGGGGGTATTTATAACTTTTTTTAAAAAAGGGGTGCTTTATAAAAAAAAAAGATTGAGAAACACTGTTCTAGACAAAGACTGTGAATGGCTCGCTAACTACAAAAGCAGCTTCTCCTCTCTTGGAATTCACACCTCCAGATCAGCTGCTAGAAGTGGGCCTCATCCTCCCTGATTGGATCCACCTCTTCATCTCCAGCCTGATTCTGGCCTGCATATTTATACCTGCCTCTGGAAATTTCCACTACATGCATCTGACGAAGTGGGTCTTTGCCCACGAAAGCTCATGCTCCAACACTTCAGTTAGTCTATAAGGTGCCACAGGACTCCTCGCCACTGTTCTAGACCGTTAATCATTTTTATTGCTCTTCTCTGGACCCTCTCCAATTTCCCCACCTCTTCCAGAAACGTGGCTCCCAGAACTGGACACAAGACTCCAACTGAGGTCTAATCCATGCAGAGCAGAGCGTAATGGTCCCCCATCACCATAGTACCTTGAGAGCCAGACTTCTGGGCTTTGCCACCTACTGTCATTGTAAGTGTCCTTCCATCTCCTCCCCTCTTCCCAGACCTTCACGGAGCTGGATGTAGAAGGCCATCAGGAATGCACTTACGACCACCTGGAGGTTTACAATGGGAAAGATGCCAAGGCCCCAGTCCTGGGCAGGTTCTGTGGGGCTAAGGAACCAGATCCTGTCGTCTCCACCGGCAACAAGCTGTTCCTCAAATTCTTCTCCGATAACTCCGTCCAGAAGAAGGGCTTCCAGGCCACCTATTCCACAGGTAACTGGGCTTTTGACAGCTTGAGGCTTGGGTGAGTGGCAGGTACCTAAAACCTCCAGAGGGTCGTGGCAAAATCAGGCCAGGTGTTGTCATGTCCCTCCTTCCCCCCACATCTCCCTGGGAACATGGAGGCTTTAGGGACTCCATCCTTGTGTTAAATGTATGGAGAGGGGCAAGGGAGGAGAAGAGCAGAGAAACTTGGGTCAACAGGTGACAGCGGAGCAACATGGAGAGGAGCCAGTGTACTGCCGGAGGGCGGATTGGAACCTGGGACGAGGGATGGGAACAACTAGTTGACAAGCCAATGCTTATCGACTAGTCCGAAAGA